TCTGAGTAGTGGATGACCCTCTCTACCTCCTAAGCTACAGCTGCCCTACTAAGTAACACGCATTACAAAGCTGTCTCATCACAGGTGCTTTGGCTTAAAGTCATGTGAGACCACCTGGGAATACTGGGAAAACTGGGAATATGAGGTGGCTATGGCTCAGAGGTAGAGTGGGTCGTCCAATTATCGGTAGATCTGTGGTTCATCCCATGTTGAAATGTCCTTTGGCAAGATACTGAACTCCAAATTGCTCCTGAAGGTTGCGTCACTGGTGTGAATGAGCATTAGAAATGTGTGTCTGAATGGGTGAATGGCCTGATGTGTAAAGTGCTTTGAGAGGTCAGAAGACTAGAAAGGTGCTGTATAAATGCTGTGCATTTAAGATTTATTGTGGTAATTTCATTCTTGTGCACAGGCTGTTATGTAAAACCCTGTTTATGTTTCTAGGGGAAAATATTATTTGGGAGAACAGGTAGGCTTTATTCAAAGTCAACAGTACTGGAATGACTACATCAGTGCAAATTATTTTCATAATATTGACCCAAATAGGAAATATTATCCCTTAAAATCAGTCTGAGGAGATGATGCAGCCACAGACTTACACATAAATATATACCCATTGATAGACTGCATAGCAGCTGGGCAGACAGCTGTGAGTGTGGGTGTGTGTGTGTCTGTTGCATGTCATTACATCATGCAAACACAGTTGCTTAAGTGACATGACGCAAGTTCTCTAAAGAGGGAAACCCAGAGCTGACTGACACACACATACACATAAACACACACACACACACACACACACACACACACACACACACACACACACACACACACACACACACACACACACACACACACACAGACAATGATTGTAAAGTCATATTCCAACCCAGTAATAATGATTTTGGTGATTTGCTTTTAAAAAACATATCTAGGTTCAAACTGATTGTACATTGTTAGATGTCTATTTTACATAATTTAATAACTTGCATGTATCCATTTTTCAACTTAGGCACTGAATGCTATCGAAACACATAAAGACTACAGACTAAACTATGATAGGAATGTTTCATCAGAATGACCAATCACACCCCGACAAAGGATGGGATAGGATAAAGGAAAAGGAAAAGATAAAGAATAATAATCGATAACAAATAATAACTTTAATTCATATTAAAGTTCCTCTGGGGCACCACCACCAAAGGAAAAATGATAATCGATTGATTCTCAGTCTCATAAAATACACTAAACTATTCATATGAATCTACGATTGATAAAATATAACAAATAATTACCATGTCAGTAGCTTGTTGAAGTTAAAGGATTTGGAGTTCAACATAAAAGAGTTGTGGGTTCTGTTGTGAAAAAGTCTAAACTGTGCGTTGTCTACTCCTATTGTCTGTCAGCACTACCTGTACCTGCTTTCCTATTGTCTACCATCCTTTCCTGGTAGAGTTGAGTAGAACTGACAGCTCTGTGTTAAAGCACCACTATGTAAGATTTGTTATTTGTTGTGATTTGGCCGCCCAAGTTTTAGAGTGCAATACCACTGGTGTAGATATTAATAGCTGTCCATGTGCATTTGTTATGATTACTTATGATCAAAAACAAGGGAGCTGACAACTTTTTCACCAAACATCAAGCAAGTGAAACAACACAAGACATAGCAAGCCAGCTAATATTACTTACTAGTCCGACAGCAAGAAAGCCAGCTCAGCATCTGTCTTGCAGCCTTTTATTGATGAAGCTCTTGCTAATGACTAAAAGCCAGTCCCAGATTTACTTGTCTTGTCTGGCAGCTTCTCTCTACCTTTGTCATTTTAACTTTCTCCATAGTCCTCTTAGGTCTCTTTGCCTCCGCAATTAGCTACAGTACGTCTATTAAAGCTGCTGAAATGTTATTTGAAAAGGTAAAAAAGACAATATATAGATTTTTTTCAAAACAAACAAAACAAATTAATATCGAACCATGATTTTGATGTTTCTGAAGACATAAACAAGATATAAATTAATGAATTCTGAAATGTGCTTTGATATTGGTTTGAATGTGGAAATGATGTGTCTGACAGCTTCTTCAGGCTTAGCAAGAGGGGAGGAGTCAAGGAGAAAGTCTGAGTTTTTTGAAGAAAACGTGCCAGCGAGCGGGTTAAGTTCACAGAGTCAGTTACCATGGTATATCATCCAGAGTTTAAGTTAACTCTCTTTCTAGAATGGAACACCCAGAGTTTCCTTCATCTTAACATTAAAGAGTTTTCACTAAACCTACTTTATGAAACAGGGCTGTGGACTGCATCAGCTTACTGTGTCACAGTAAATTAATGACCAAAAAAAAGTAATAGTTACTGCTTAGTCTCCCTCATTAAATCATTTGTATAAGTTAGTATAATGAACAATTATATTACTTCATTCATGCTGCATCATCACAAGCTCATGGAGCAGTCAGACAGAAACCCACTTCCCATTTAATTTGTGTTAAGAGATGAGACAGATTTAACCTCTAATTCAAGAAATGTTGGTTGTTTTTATTCTTGTTTTATCACTGTATGGCAAAATAACACAAGAAGGGATGCTCCTTGTTTGTAGCGAGTGTAAGGACAGTGTTAGAATTAATAACAGTAAAATGTTTCAACACTGTAATTTACAAAAAAATGTTCAATGATGTGATGATCACAAAGGCAGGTGATCAAAAATGTCACAGGTTACAAAAGCAGAAGCAAAAGAGTGCCCCCATCATGTGTGAGGCTATATTGCCAGTTAAACACATTTTATGCTCGCTTTGATCTCGTAAGTCACCTGTGAAGTCTACTTCACCTCCACAGGATCGGACACTGTCAGTATCCACAACGGTGTGAGAAAAATCTTGCTGAGAGTAAAGCCGCTGGGCCTGTCAGCTAGTTGACGTCATTACTGTGTCATTACATTAGGACAGTGTTCCAACCTGCATCAAGAAAGCCACCATCTGGGGGGCCCAGTTAGCTCAGTGGGTGGAGCTGGCGGCCGATGCACTGAGGCTGAGTCCTTGCTGCAGTGGCCCAGGGTTCGAATCCGACCTGCGGCCCTTTCCTGCATGTCATCCCCTCTCTCTGCCCCCTTCCTCTCTGTATTCAGCTGTCACTATCATAAAGGCAATAAAAGCCCCCAAAAAAAAAAAAGAAAGCCACCATCGTCCCTGGACCTAAAAACTCTGTAGTGCCTGGTCTAAACAACTACCGCCCTATGGCACTCACACCCATTCGGATGAAGTGCTTTGAGAAACTGCTGTCGCTAGCTAGTTAACAGTCCTACTAGCTGTCTGCACCCGGACTGGAAGAACCAAGAGTGGCTAGCTGATTAGCGGCTACGAACAGGACTATCATAACTCTGGTCAGGAAAACACAGCGGGTTCAGGCAGCCACAGGAGAGGCATCAAATGGAGGAAGAGGAGCGTGTTTGTAGTGAGTTAATTTGCAAGAAACCGTTAACGTTATATATCATCCATTGTTTCAATAAGTCAGCCAGTATTTATTTTTGTGAAGTTGAAAGTTATTTATTCTGTGTTTTGAACGATGAGACAGGCATGTGTGATATTATGCTGTGTTAATAAATTAATTAAACAATTGCAATGCCCTGTCCTACAAATCTTGTTCTCTAAATGTAAGAAAACACGTTTGCTTGGTACAGACCACAGCAAACGTCACATCATCGTGATAAACATTTGTTTCAGTATAAATTGAAATTATGATGCAAACATGATAATTCCTGGTAATTGTGAATCATATCGCATATCTGTCAAAATAATTGCAATTTAATTGTTAAACACTATTGTGGAGCCCTAGTAAGACGTCTCTGGTGCCATACCACCAGATGTAAGAATGGCTTCTTCTCAGGCTGTGACTGTCACTCAGCACATTATGTAAAATACATTAAAAGGACCCATGTCTTTCAGTACATGGTCCCTTAACAATCACTAACAACCAGGTATTTCAAAATTCCCCAGCACACAGGAAGAAACACAAAACAAAATTTACAGTTCAACCACCCATGAATGAGTCCTTATTTCACACAAAACTCCTCTTCGGGATCACAACAAGTAAACACTAATACTGAGATTGAGATTCAATACAATAGTTGCCAACAAAAATAAAAAACAAACAATGCCTCTTGTCTAATAGCCTAGCTTAGTGATTATCTGAACCGTTGGGAGTTACCTCCAGTAGCCCAGCCAGTGCACTGCTGTTGGCTTCAGGGCATAGTCAGCCTGGGAGTCAGGAGGTTTGATGGTGGGTCTATGGCGTAGAGAATGAAGTTGCAGAATAATAAAATTTGGTAGAGGTAATGGGTGACCTATGAACAGCAGACTTTTTTGGCTCGTTGCCAGGGGTTGGCAAACCAATTGATGATTACTCTCATGGTAGACTGGGTCTTCACCCTCCTAAATAGATGTGTGGCCTTTTGGTAACACAGACAAAATTAGTCCTTGTGTGTGTGATATATAAACCCTCTGTAATCTTTTTGTCTTGTCGCATGTTGAGTGTGGTTGTGTCAAATGTCTATCGCTGTCTCTGCTCTGAGCACATGCCCACATTGAAACTCAGCAGTGGGTGGGGAAACAGAGAGAGTTGACGAGGGCTGCACAGTGTATAAAAACTTTGTGAATAAAAACAGCTTTGTGACAGCTGACGGTAAACAAAAGATCTGATCAATAAAGGTCAATAGAGCCGATACCGATGCCTTGATCGGCACAGATACTGATCGTTGAGATCGTCGAGACATCCCTAGTGTTTAAAGGTGCCGATCGCTACAGTTCAGTTTAGTACAAGAAGTTTGGTTTGGTATGTGACTTCCTCGGTTTGGTACACCCTGAGTCCGAAACAAATACAAATTCATTTTTATTTGAACATTTAATTTTTATTTGATTACAATATTTATCAATAGAATTGCAGTTTTTTCTTGAACCTATAATTGTGAAGTAGACAGAGGCTAATGGTTGATGTGACTGATGTTGGTGTGTGTGCTGGTGTTACCTGGAAAACATGTTTGCAGGTGTTCAGTTAGGGCCTCCTGAGTCACAGGCTTATGGGCAGAGTTCATAGCAGAGATAGCCAATAGCAATACCTCTCCCAAAGGGATGAACTGCGATTGGCTGATGGGGGACATACTGATGGGTGACACATCACCTGTGAAAAGACAGAAATCAGTCACTATGATTAAAATCTCTTAATCTATGACCAGAACATGTATGACAATATGAACACAGTGCAGTTTCATGTCTGTAGCTTTCAGAAACAACAATAAAATCACAGGCTGTCCTGGGCTTGGGACCTTTGTTGCATGTCATTCCCCATCTCTCTCTTCCCTCATTTACTGTTACAGATGTTTTATCAGTCTGTTGTGGCGAGCACCAGCTTCTTTGCTGCGGTGTCCTGGGGTGCGGGCATCAAGGCAAAGGACGCCAACAGACTGAACAAACTCATTAAGAAGGCCGAGTCTGTTGTTGGCTCTAAGCTTGCCACCCTGGAGGAGGTGGTGGAGGAGGGGATACTGGCAAAACTGCTGGCAATCATGGACAATCCCTCCCACCCCCTCCACACAACACTGGACAAGCTAAAGAGCAGCTTCAGCAACAGACTCATTCATCCCCGCTGCTCTAAGGAACGATATAGAAAATTGTTCCTCCCCACTGCAATAAGACTTTCTAATAATAATTGACTCTTAATCAGCTGCTATAACAATATAATTTCCCTTCGGGGATAAATAAAGTATTTCTATCTATCTATCTGTCTATCTATCTATCTAGTATAGTACAAGTGCTGAATAATGTTGTCTGTTTTTCTTCAGGACATTTGAACATAAATATGAACATTGTTAGAAGGTGCCTGGGCAAAAACAAATAAAAAAGGACAATATATAATGAGACCTTCATCTCCAGTCCAGTGTCCACCCTTGGCCACAATATGGGGGTTTTCTCCAGGCTTCGGGGACCTCCACATATGGTTCAGTATTGTTTGCCAGGAGCACAGTGCTGTTTTTTTGACAATTTTATGGGAGCGCTATGACTCTTTTAAGCATGATGGCATCCATCCAATTTTCGAGGATCACATCTGCTCTCTTCAAACATTAACCACACCATATTGCACCACGTGAACAATCAGCATGTCGCTGACCAGCTGGAATCATCATCCACCTCCTTACATGATTGACTGACCTTACATGAGCCGGGTAAATTCTCCCCCACTATCATTCATAGCACTACTAGCTCCCCCTGGTGTAAGCCTATGTATAGTGACACCTCAAGCTCCTATTCAATAATTCAGGCCTGAGCAGTTTCAACAATGAAGGATTGTATTTTTGGCGGCCCGGCATGCTCCAAAAGTCATTAAACTTGTATCACACATATGTAATAATTATATAATTATAATTTATCTGCTGACAAAGCTGGAAAACGTTTATTGTTGCTGAAACTTCTTACAATTACAATCGAGGAAAAAAAGCTGGGAAACTTCTGACATGGAGAATTTCTCTGATATAGCAATTAACAGTATAATAACTTTTTCAGGAAGCCTTATAGTTAGGGGGGTAAGAAAATCATATCGGGATAGATTCTCAAAAACACTATCAATTCTTGTGTTTAAACAAATCATTTAAACACCCAACTGCTAGATAACAGTGTCGTAAACCTAAACTGAAGGCAATGAGTTATTCACATCACCTGTTATGGCTGATCGATGTATATCATAAGTCCTATAAGAATGGGACAGACACTGACAGAAGATGCAAGGAGTTACATAGTGGTTTAACAATTGAAGAGACATCACAGGCTAACCAAAACATATTAACAGTGGTAAAGTGCTGATCTTGAATCCAGGCAAACCCTCTACAGAGTGTTCCTCGTTAATACCAGTAAGTCTAATTGGCTCTGACACAAAAATACTTTGTGAAGCCCTAGCTAGTAGATTAGATCATTATATCTCACATCAAGCCAATAATGATCAGAATAGTTTTGTGCAAAATTATTACAAAAAAATCTGTATAACTATGTTGAACCAAGTTACAGCCTAAATGTTTTGAGTTTTTTTTTCAACAGAAGTGTTATTTGCTATGTTACAGGTACACTTGAGAGACAATAGGTGTCAATCATCGCGCAACAATGTCGCCCAGGAACACAAAGAAATACACTAATCACTGTCTCCGCAGCACCAGCATTCAGAAACTGTTGACACAAGAGAGATTATGGTCACAAATGCGAAACCTCGCTTTGGAGCTACTGGTGACCAAAACTCAGTGACTGGAGAAAGTGGAGCAACATCCTCACCACGTCAAGCGACACACCTCGACCTAACAAACAATGCAAGTCATCCTACAAACCCTGGACAGTTTTTCAGTGGTTGCACAATAAATGGCAACATACAAATAACCCTAACCCTAAAATAAATAAACAGCCAAATAATGAAATCAATGTGATGATAAAATAAGCTAGTACATTGCATAGCAACCACCTTGCACTATGAGCAGGCAACCAGGAGGGCCTATTTCTTTGTAAGAATAATGCTTTTGAAAAAACGCTTTGTGAACCAAAACAGTTTTAATTGGAATGTGTCTGTTACTTTCATACTGCCATACTTGGTAATCATTTTATAAAAGTAATAGCTCACTCCACACCATGATTTATTGTGATTATATCACAGCTAAGGTGGTTGTCGGCCCCCAATGAACATTGTTCATTGTTGTCATTATGGCACAACAGCACGTCTCAGCACATCTCTATGGAGAGAATTTTGTTCCTTTATTATTCAATCAAATAGAATAGATTTGAAACCAAAAAAGATATTTGAGAGCAAAAAAGAGTAAGTGGCAATCAAAAAATTTTTTTGAGATCGAAACAGAACAGGTTGCAATTGAAAAAAAATGAGAGAACATATTTCTTCAACTTCAATCAAAACTAATGTTTGTAAGTAAAAACATACGACCATTTTGCTTATAAATCAGTCCTCTTTGCTTGCGAGTTATAAAGTTTTGTTTGCAAATCAGTCCTCTTTGCTTGCAAGTTCTAAAGTTTTGCTTGCGAATTCAACTGCACTTGATGGGCGGGGCCTACGCTGGTGGATGAGAGAAGAGTTTCTATTGGTTGGTTTGGCCTGGCTACTTCCGCATTACACCCACCTCTCCCTTGAGCTGTGCTGCTTGGAGGTAAGCCTGTTGCTCTGGAAACGTTTCCCATATGTAATGAATTGCGCTATATATCGTTGGCTACAGCCTGCTACATTCACCACCACAACAACAACAACAACAACAACAACACAAGTAATGAATTATAATGCCCTGCTGCTGCAAGCACACTGATTAGCAGCAACATGGTTGTCTCTGCTGGTCACAGCCTGAGCAGAGTAGCCTAATGAGTGAGTGAATTACAGGGAGGCATATACAACGTAGGGCTGTGATTTAAACATTTAGTGTTGCATGGCACACGCGGTGCCAAAACGTCATGGTTCCTACACAACAGCACTACCGTTGATTACTAAACTACCGCTGAACGTGGTGCCAGTTTCCACTGTGTAGCAGGCTGCCGCTACTCCTCCCGGCTCCTGTTCTCACTACAGCTGTTCTAATGTCAGCAAACACACGTGGCGAATAATTTAACAAATTCACGCACATTACCAAACTCAGATGCCCGAATGGAAAACCAACAGCAGTCACAAGCAATGACTTACCCTAGCTTGTGACTGCTGTTGGTTTTCCATTCTGGCATTAAAAGAAAAACGGACGTATTATTTTGACAGTATTTATGTAACATTGCATAACAATAAAAGTCATGGTCAATAAAAAACAACAGCGAATGAAGATCAATGTAGTGTTCCCAATGAATCTGTGGATCCATTCCATAATATAACAGACACATAAATCTGAGTTTGGTAATGTGCGTGAATTTGTTAAATTATTCGCCACGTGTGTTTGCTGACATTAGAACAGCTGTAGCAAGAACGGGAGCCGGGAGGAGTAGCGGCAGCCCGCTAAACAGTGGAAACTGGCACCGCGTTCAGCGGTAGTTTAGTAATCCACGGTAGTACTGTTGTGTAGGAACCATGACGTTTTTGCACCTCGTGTGCCGTGCAACACTAAATGTTTAAATCACAGCCCTACGTTGTATATGCCTCCCTGTAATTCACTCACTCATTAGGCTACTCTGCTCAGGCCGTGACTAGCAGAGACAACCATGTTGCTGCTAATCAGTGTGCTTGCAACAGCAGGGCATTATAATTCATTACTTGTGTTGTTGTTGTTGTTGTGGTCAATGTACGCCAGGCTGTAGCCAACGATATATAGTGCAATTCATTACTTATGGGAAACGTTTCAAGAGCAACAGGCTTACCTCCAAGCAGCACAGCACAAGGGAGAAGTGGGTGTAATGCGGAAGACGTAGCCAGGTCAAACCAACCAATAGAAACTCTTCTCTCATCCACCAGCGTAGGCCCCGCCCATCAAGTGCAGTAGAATTCGCAAGCAAAACTTTAGAACTTGCAAGCAAAGAGGACTGATTTATAAGCAAAATGGTCGTATGTTTTTACTTACAAACATTAGTTTTGATTGAAGTTGAAGAAATATGTTCTCTCATATTTTCTTTTCAATTGCAACCTGTTCTGTTTCGATCTCAAAAAAATTTTTTTTCATTGCCACTTACTCTTTTTTGCTCTCAGATTTCTTTTTTGGTTTCAAATCTATTCTATTTGATTGAATAATAAAGGAACAAAATTCTCTCCATACATCTCTAAAAAAAAAAAAATCTGCTTTATTGCTGAAACATCATTGAATGATGTCTGATTGGATTTTTATTTTTTTTTAAAGAGTTACAAGTTCAAATGGACTGGATCAGTCGGCGGTGCATGCTGACACAGCAGCCAGTATTTACTTCAAACTTAGTTACATTTTTGTTTTAGTCAGTGTTTTTGGGTTTATTACTGAATGACAGTAATTGGAAAAGTAAGCCAGGTTTGGATTAAAGAGCAGAGGACTCCAGCTAGAGAGCTGGGATAAAAACCATGCAAACCCAGCTTGGCTTTAAGGCTGCTCCTGGCTAATGTATGATCTGGACTACATACATATACATATACACTCACACACAAACCGATTTCAGAGGCAGACGCCCAACCAGACTGTGAAGATAGTAGAGAGCAGACCACAG